ATGAAGAATATATATATATATATATATATATATATATAGAAAGATTTTCAAATTTTCCTCCGACATATGGTAAAAGTTCTTAATTTCCAAAGGATGACATTCTTTTCTTAATTTTTCTTTACGATACAATCTTCAAAAAAAAAAAAAACTGCTGACAGATCTTCTGAATTAATTAACTAAAGAACAAGGAGCACTTGTGAGTTATGTACATCACAGTAACAATACATTTGGATTTAAATGTGAATGAAGCACGAATTTAAAAATAAAACAGGCAGAACAAATAAAATAATTTTAAAAAAGGGACACACACACTTTATTATTTTTGCTTTATATATTAAGAAACGGTGGTCATGTTCTCTCTTCACCTATGCTCATCACCTCACCTCTCTCTCTCTCTCTCTCTCTCTCTCTCTCTGTGATTCTCTTCTTCTTTCATCATCTCCTTGATCGATCTTATCCATATATATTTGCAGTTTGATATAAACCACAGGCAATTAATATATAGTCGTCTAGAACCCGAAGAAGTTGGTGGTTGTCTCTAGCTTGTTGCATGGATGGATCCTTCATGTGCAGCACAACAGGTAACCTAACTTCTCTCTCTCTCTCTCTCTATATATATATATATATATATCTGTATATGAAATCATGAGCGTTGTTTTCTTGAATTGATGGTGTTATTGTTTTGAAATAGAATATTCTTATCTTTTGTTGCATACTTCACGGCTCCCATATTGATTTACATATGAATTTGGGTTTCATATATTTTAGGGTTTTTTTTTTCAATTGAAGGATCGATATATATATACACACACACACTTGCCTTCGAGGTTGATACTGTATATTTAATTTCTTTATAGTTCAATTATGTATGGCACTACAAAGTTGTTCCTAAGGGAGAGAAAAAAAAACAAATACCCTTAAAAAAACCATTTAAACTTCCTTGAAATTCTATGCAACTTTTGGTTACAGCATTGATTAATGATAAACAAGCTTATTCTTCAATTGGAACATTGGAACCGAGTTCGGATCCCTAAATCGCTACCCATCAACTTTTGAATCCGACTTTTTTGAATTCGAATATTGTATTTTGTATATTTTCAGATTCAAACCCATGATTTTGTTGTGTGTGACTTTATAAAGTAATTTTGGATTTAATTAGTTTGGTTGAATCGCTTCTTAGCTCCTAATTCACCATTGTATTTTTTTTATAAAATTAATTCACCATTGTTGTCATCTTTACTTTTCTAAACCCAACACAAAACTTGCACTCCTTAGTCTAGTTTGTTCCTTTAAACCCTATAGTTATATACATAATCATATATTTATAGTTCTTAATTAACTTTGCATTTCCATTCATTCTCATCTTTACAATTAATTACACTTAAAAGAGCATGTCTTAAATGTTGTGTTATATATATATATATATATATATATATATATGTGTGTGTGTGTGTATGTAGATCACTGGCTAGACCTAGATATGTCACATATTGTTGTCGGTTGATTCTAAGACGTTGGAAATTATTGCAGGAAATGTCTAACCAGACCCTAGAAACAATACTCGTATGCACTAAATCAAACAACAACGCGCAAGATCATCAGAAGAAACAAAGGCCGCAACCGGAACAAGCCCTAAAATGTCCGAGATGCGAATCCACCAACACCAAGTTCTGCTACTACAACAACTACAGCCTCTCCCAGCCTCGCTACTTCTGCAAGTCTTGCCGGAGATACTGGACCAAAGGCGGAACCCTAAGGAACGTCCCCGTCGGAGGTGGCTGCCGGAAAAACAAGCGCTCCACGTCGTCTTCTTCATCCTCCTCCAAGAACAACCTCATCAAGACTTTCCACGACGAGCCCCTCAACAACCCTTTAATTACGGCACTGCCACCGCTCGGCTACGACCCCGTCGATCTCAACCTCGCCTTCGCCAGGCTTCACCAGAAGCACTCCTTTGGACCCAGTCAGGTTTCTTTATTCGCAAACTCCGAGGGTGAAGTTTTCGGGAACTCATCAGGCACTGGCTTGTTTGGGGGGCAAAACGGTAATTTCGGATCCGGCTTGGGGTATGGATTCATGACGGGTAGCGACGATCATCGTCTTAACAGCAGCACGGGCGCCACTCCAATGGCGATGAGGTTCGAGGGCGGCGGCAACAACAAGCAAGAGGGTCCCGTAAGTGGAAACAACGAGAACCCTAATAAGGTCTTGTGGGGATTCCCATGGCAGATGAACGGAGAAGTTTCCGGCGGCGGAGGAGCGCCGGAGATCGACGCGGGAAGAGAAAGCTGGAATGGGTTTAGCTCAACTTGGCATGGTTTACTCAACAGTCCCTTGGTGTAGAAGATGAAGAAGAGGGTGATATATGTTAATCTCTCATATATAAAAAATGTATTTTTCACATGTATACCACTAATGGGCGTGTTTGGTTTTTCTAGGTGCTCTTTGGGTTTTTCTTTCTAGTTTTCTTTCTCCATGGGAGACATTGAGAGTTGCTTTAATTAATTTTTAACAATGGTTGGGTTGGTTCTAATGGATCTCAAAAAAAAAAAAAAAAAATCTTTTAATGCATTTTGTTCGTTTTTGCTTTTGTTAACCTCGGTGGAAGTCTATCTATATAGGTTCTACGTGAATCCCACAGAGCAGCTAGTGAGAATGCAGCATTATATATATATATATATATATGTTGGTGGAAGTTTTTCACTTTTGATATATATATATATATATATACACGTAAATATATATATATATATATACACACACACACTTTACACGTTTGTAAAGTTAATTAGATAAAAATATTATGTTCGAATCCGCAATAAAAATTTGGCTAATCAAATTGATCTTCGCAATCAAATCGATATAAAAGTTTATGATTTCTTTAAAATAAAAATAAAATAAATTCAAACCAAAACCAAACCAAATAAAAAATAATAACCATACTCCGAATGAACATAAAAACGATAAAATCAAACTAAATTTGATGTAAAGCCGAATAATTATAAATTTTTGAAAATCAAAATACATACGTACGTACATACATACATACATACATACATACATACATACATACATACATACATACATACAGATCCATAGTGCATGGCAGCTTATTCGTTAATTATGACAACAAAAATTTACATGTGACTAACTAAAAATGTATCAGAACTAGGAATCCATATTAATTTCGATTTTGAGTTTTGGTTTGGTTATTTTTTTAGTTCAATTTTCTTGTTGGTTATGTGGAAAATTACATTCAGTTGATTTTTATTTTTAATTTGATTCATTTCGATTTTTTTTTTCAAATTTAACTTTATTTGATAAAAATATAAATTTTTTTTAACATTCCATCATGGTTTAGACTTTCAAAAAATTCTGTTTATTCATTTTTCTATTATCGCATTCAAAAGGAATATATTAAATGTTGTTTAACTGAACCGTAACGGCCACCGCTACCGTTAATCGTACTTTGGTCGCCTACCAAAGCTAACGTTATTATGTCATATTTATTCACCCAAAAAATCAACATACACACTAGCAATATATAATTCCTGCAATAATTAAAATTAGTACAATTGTAAGAGTTTTACGGACCAAAAATTTAATAAATGGCGGTATTTCCCAAAACATATAAACCCTAATGTATATCGTTACTTGGTTAATATTTTATTATTTAAACTAAAATGTAAAAAAATAACTTAGGGTTTCATTCCGTGTTGGTTAGCTTTTTACTGTTTGTTGCATTAAAATCTGAAGCTGGGCCTGTCGGATTTTGGAAATCTGAGTGAGTGGTGGTTTTCAAGATATTCTGGTATGATTGTTTCACATTTTCCACGTAGATATACGCATGTCTTCTTGTTATTATTTTATTAATCAAAATTTCAAAACTTACTATATTATATAGTTTGATTTGAATATAATTGGACCATCATATGGCTAATGCAAGGGAATCATTTTTATATTCGTTTCTCTCTCTCATCTCTTCTGCAGAATCAGATCTTACACGAAGATTTGGGCGTGGCACTCGGCACTAAAAATATCTGAACGACTCTATCCTCCATTACGTTGATATTTTTAAAATCGTATATATATATATATATATATGTATGTTTGTATGTATGTATATTGCTGTGTTAAATGCTCGAGTTTGAAATCTTGTAACATAGGCTGCCTGCCGACAAAGGGTCAAGTTGGCACGAGAGGACTGGGCGTGGAATTTCAGTTATAATATTTTCGATAATTAATGTTTTTGTTTGTTTGAAATTCGATAATTAATGTTGGATACGAGATTATCTGATTGTTGTATTATTTATAAAAACAATAGCTAGAAAAGCTCCAAGAGTTTTAACAGTTTCTAATTCTATAGGAGTAATCGCAATTAGAGATAAATATTTTGATTCGCATATATAAAATCAGCACGAATGAAAATAAATAACAACTAATTTTCTAAATCCATATTAGATACGAACCAAATACAAATTAATGGTTCTAAATTTTCTAATGTTAAAAAATTTGAATCTGAACTAATAGAAATCAAAATTTAGCACGGTGAGAAACAAATTAAATACTGAAACTTGTAGCCACCGAACCTTGTAATATACACCCTATATTTCTAATATTTTAAGTAGGGCTGGGCACAAATACCCGAAAATCGGGTATCCGTCGGATACTCGTCTCACGGATACCCGATTTTAGGGTACTCGTAATTTTCAAATCCGAATCCAAATCCTTATTTTTCAATACCCGTGAATCCGGATCCAAATCCGGATAATAGAATTTTTAAAACCGGATATCCGCGGGTACCCGCGTATTATGATTATAAATAATTATATCTTATATTTATATAACATTTTTATAAAATACAATTATTTTAGATGAAATAATTTCATATTTTTTTAATATTAATTCAAAAAAATTAAATTTATTATTATTTGTCTCTTATTATCTCTTTTGTCTTATATATTTTATCATAATTCATCAATTTTTATAAATATATCTTCATGTTTTAAAAATTTTATATATGAATATTGTTGTTTTTCTTAAATAAATCCGGATCCGGATATCCGCGAGTACCCGACTATTATTCCGGATACCCGTACCCCGGATACTCGTAAATACCAAATCCCGGATACAAATCTCATAGTTAAATACCCGAGCCTCCCGGATCCGAATCCAAATCTCTCGATTTTCCCGGGTATCCGACCCGTGCCCACCCCTAATGGGTGGTACAATTCGGTGCGACCGTACAGGACCCTAAAATTTGAGGGCCTCAAATTTTTATTTATTTATTATAAAAAATATTTTATATAATTAAATTATGTAATAAATAAATATAAATCTTCAAAAATATAAAATATATATCATTTAATTATAGTTATAATAAAATATTAATCTAATAAAATTTTAAATTATTTACTTGATTTATTTTAAATTTTAGTATTTAAGTCCATTTGTTTACGATAACATAAAACTTGCGTGTTTATATTTGGGCTTCATACTAAACTGGGCTCGATATATCCAATTAAGCCTATAAAGTTTGAGGCCCGTAGGCCCATTATCAGGGCCACCTGACCAAACCCTAACGTCGCTATCCTCTACTTCAGTCTTCAGTGGCAGACACAAACTTCCATAAGATGCCCCTTGATTGTTACCAAAGATTCGTTTCATAGTTAAAATGTAATTTATTTTTCCCATAAATCAAAATCTTAAACATTCACAAATTTCTCAATTTTTTTATATTTTAATATTAATTTGTGATAGTTTCTATTTTGCTTCACCAATTATTTGTATTCGTAATCGTTTTCTTTTTAAGTTTGGGAAGAAAAATTAGAGCAAATGATTATACATTTGCAAAAAAAAAGAGAGAGAGAGAGACAAATGCAAAAAGAATGTCTGATGCCCAAAAACAAAACAGAAAACTTATGTAATGCTAACAAAATACTAGTAATTCTAAACACTATAGGTGGGTGTAAAGAAAATATAATTACAAAAAAATGAAAGTATATTTAATTAGTGTGCTAAAAAACAAAATAAATAAATAAAGATAAATTAATTATAAACCCTAAGCTGCCTATTTCGAATCATTCATCATCTCTCGCCACGATCGTCGATTGAACTCGTCGGCGGTTTCTCAGGTTCACCGGTTCTGCCGGGTTTTAGCGGTTTTCGACGGTTCAACACATAAGGTGGTTATTTCTAAAGCCCGGACCGGATAATCTACCGGCCGATCCGTCCGGTTCGATTTTAAAAACGTTTTGGAAACAAAAAAAAAAAAAGAGAGAGAGAGTTTCCGGAAACCCTAAAACCCCAGGCTGTTACGCGGAACAGAGGCAGCAGAGAGAACAGACGGAGAAGAAAATGAGTCACCATTGCTTAGACCTCTCTGCGAATTGTTCATCCCTTTTCGCCTCTCCGAAATCTTGTTCGTCTCTGTTGCCGATAAAGCTCTCCAGTTCCCAGTTCTTCTTTCGCTCTGGTAAGAATTCACGGGGAAGATCGAGGCTTACCTCTGCTTGTCCTCACTCGAGACTCCAGCCATGGCGGTCGGGGTCCATCACCAGAATCTTCAACTCGTTCCGACCCGTCTCGGAGCTTTCCGACTCGGGCAAAGCTTGTTCTCCGGAGAAAGTGGGGAAGAGGACCGATCTGAAGAAGATTCTGATCCTCGGCGCCGGTCCCATCGTGATCGGACAAGCTTGTGAGTTTGATTATTCAGGAACTCAAGCTTGTAAAGCCCTGAGGGAAGAAGGGTACAAGGTTATCCTGATCAACTCGAACCCGGCAACGATCATGACTGACCCTGAAACCGCCGACCGGACATACATAGCTCCAATGACGCCGGAGCTCGTCGAACAGGTTATCGAGAAGGAGCGTCCGGACGCTCTGTTGCCCACCATGGGAGGTCAAACCGCCTTGAACCTCGCCGTGGCACTCGCTGAGAGTGGAGTACTCGAGAAATATGGGGTCGAATTGATCGGAGCGAAGCTTGACGCGATCAAGAAGGCTGAGGATCGGGATCTGTTCAAGCAGGCAATGAAGAACATCGGGCTGAAGACGCCTCCTTCGGGCATTGGCAACACGCTCGATGAGTGTTTCGAGATTGCAGAGAGAATTGGTGAGTTTCCTTTGATTATCCGTCCTGCGTTTACTCTAGGAGGTACAGGTGGTGGAATTGCGTACAATAAAGAGGAATTTGAGTCAATATGTAAAGCGGGTTTGGCTGCGAGTTTGACTAGTCAGGTTCTTGTGGAGAAATCATTGTTGGGTTGGAAAGAGTATGAGCTTGAGGTGATGAGAGATTTGGCAGACAATGTTGTGATTATCTGTTCAATTGAGAATATCGATCCAATGGGTGTGCACACGGGTGATTCCATCACTGTTGCGCCGGCACAGACCCTGACGGATAAGGAGTACCAGAGGCTTAGGGATTACGCCATTGCCATTATCAGGGAAATCGGTGTGGAGTGTGGTGGGTCTAATGTGCAGTTTGCTGTGAACCCGGTTGATGGTGAAGTTATGATCATAGAAATGAACCCTAGGGTTTCCAGATCTTCAGCTCTTGCTTCTAAGGCTACCGGGTTTCCCATTGCAAAAATGGCAGCCAAATTGTCTGTTGGTTATTCTCTGGATCAGATTCCAAACGATATCACGAAGAAAACACCAGCTAGTTTTGAGCCCTCCATTGATTACGTGGTGACTAAGGTTTGTCATTTTTCTCGTGGATCCTTTACTCTTTTTCCTCAGTTGCTAAGTCATGTCAGCACGTTTTTTTAGCAGTTTGTGGATTGCTGAATCAGATGCACTTGAGTCTTGACTTGCAAATTTACGCAGGCAGCTTTCCGTTTGATGATAATGCATCACCTGATTCAGAGTCTTGATGTATATGAGGCGTAATGCAATCTGTTTTTCAAAATTTGCAGATACCTAGGTTTGCATTCGAGAAGTTCCCAGGATCTCAGCCTCTGCTAACTACTCAGATGAAATCTGTTGGGGAATCCATGGCTCTCGGCCGTACATTCCAAGAATCTTTCCAGAAAGCTCTAAGGTCTCTGGAATGCGGGCACTCGGGCTGGGGATGTGCAAAAGTTAAAGAGCTAAATTGGGACTGGGAACAGCTTAAATTCAGCCTCAGAGTCCCAAACCCGGACAGGATCCATGCAATATATGCCGCAATGAAAAAGGGCATGAAAGTTGATGAGATCCACGAGTTGAGCCTCGTGGACAAATGGTTCCTAACCCAACTCAAAGAGCTCGTGGACATTGAACAGTATCTTACGTCGAGGCCTTTGTCAGAGGTCACGAAAGAAGACCTTTATGAAGTGAAAAAACGGGGATTCAGCGATAAGCAGATCGCTTACGCCACAAAGACAAGCGAGAAAGAGGTTCGTACCAAGCGGATCTCTTTAGGAGTTGTTCCTTCTTACAAAAGGGTGGATACTTGTGCTGCAGAGTTTGAAGCCCATACTCCTTACATGTACTCTTCTTATGATTATGAGTGTGAATCTGCTCCAACCGACAAGAAGAAAGTTCTGATTTTGGGCGGAGGTCCGAACCGTATTGGTCAGGGGATTGAATTTGATTATTGTTGTTGCCACACATCTTTCGCCTTACAGGTATGTTTATTCCTCTTTTTTTTTTTAAATTTCCTAAATAATTGTTTATAAAATAATGCAACCTTCTCATGTTTTGATGCGTCAATAGTTTCTTTGCAAATTCTGTTGTTCGAGAGAGGACGGATTATTTTGGCAAGTGTTGTTTTCAATGTTAATTGTGCTAGAATATGTATCATAAAGTATAAAATCCGGATCCAATTCGTTGCAGGATGCTGGATTCGAGACAATAATGATGAACTCGAATCCCGAGACGGTGTCTACAGATTATGATACGAGTGACAGACTCTATTTCGAGCCCCTCACTGTTGAGGACGTTTTGAACGTCATCAACCTTGAGAAACCCGATGGCATCATTGTGCAGTTTGGTGGGCAAACGCCTCTGAAGCTCGCTC